CTTCATATCACTAATACACAGCTGAAAAGATGCCTCTTGGCTTCAAGAATGACGTCTGTTGGCCCAAACAATGTGTATTATTGGTGAATGTTTGCTGGAATCTGTAACCGCTCGCTAATCTGCTGGAATCCTTGTTCTTAAAGCAAGTTTGTAGTTGGTCGCTCTTGTTTACTGTGCAGATTTGCACTGTTTAAATAAAGCTGTATCTGAGCTGTGTAATATTAGCGTTATGAACTTACAATATGGGTGACGTTCGTTTTATTTGGCATAAGCAATATGCCGGAAGAGATTTTTTTCTGACTTGGCATTGGTCATTGCTGTGGTGTAGGTAGAACTGCAGAATAGAGAAGAGCTCAGTATGACAGCATTGGGACTCCGCCATTTCAGGACCTGGTATTTGTCCAGGAAGTGACAGTACATTTCCTGTTCTCCTCTTCCTTCTTTTCCCAAAGGGAATAGAACATTGACATGCAGAGCACAGTTCCAGTATCAATGCAGTTCTTTCTCTGCCAGAGCGAGCTAGCTAGCTCATCATTTAAAATATGTGCCCTGTCACCCTGGGCTTTACAGATCTCCACACTGAATCACAATGAGTCGTGTGAAAATCCTGAATTTCCTCGTGTTGACTGCATTAAAAAAATGTGCTTTTCTGACTGTAACTTTTGGCCTCCAGATGTCCCTTCCTGATACCTTGTATAAGGTTAATAGGGTATGAGCCTAGGTTTGCACTCCAGTAATGCGATTCTGTGAGTGTATATATAGTACGGAATGAGTCCTTTCTTAGTCATACCATGTTAGAATCCTTCCTGCTTTTGTTACATTGAATGACCTTTCTGTACAGTGGCCCGTATTAGTTCATGATGCTGAATATCTTTCCATGCCAAGCTACATCCCGTGCATACAGGGATCTGAAAATATGGTACATCTAAGCATGTGTACCTTCAGTAACACTAACGTCATCCTAAAATAGAATTGTAAGCTATAGCTTAAGTACTGGTGCGTAGTGATAAGCTCGGGCGTGTTCGCAAGCGCCTTGTGCCGAGCCCGCCAGGAAGCCGTCAGCGCGCAGCGCCAATCACAGGCACTGAGACATGTTCCCGGTCCGCAGCTGCAGAGATCGGAAAATGGCTCAGTGCCTGTGATTGGCCCTGCGCGCTGACGGCTTCCTGGCGGGCTCGGCACGAGGCGCTTGCGAACACGCCCGAGCTCATCACTACTGGTGAGGTTTTCACTGCAAGGCCTGCCCTGCACACATTTGCAAACTATCGGCCTCGTCAAGGCCCCTCTGTATAGTGTGGTCCTAACTGATCTATGAGAGCCTCCATCTTGGAGCATATACAGGTGAAACTCGAATAATTAGAATATCGTGCAAAAGTAATTGCAGTAAGTGCTGCAAAAGGGGCCCAAACCAAGTACTGAGTACATATGCATGCTTGTACTTTTCAGAGGTCCGATATTGTTCTATGTACAATCCTTGTTTTATTGATTGCATGTAATATTCTCATTTTTTGAGGTTGTGGATTTGGGGTTCTTGGGGTTTTCATGAGCTGTAAGCCATAATCATCACAATTATGACAAATCACGGCTTGAACTATCTTGCTTTGCATGTAATGAGTCTATCTCATATATTAGTTTCACCTTTTTAAGTTGCATTAGTGAAATAAATGAACTTTGCACGATATTCTAATCGAGTTTCACCTGTATATCAATTGAGAAATTAAGTGCAAGTTTACCTGGAGGTAACACACAAGGGATAGGGACGCACAATGGCAGCTGAAGACTCCCATTGTGTCCCCGCACCGAATCCAGCAAGCTAAACAAAAATGGCAACCACACCAATCAGTTTATGAAAATACTGTATGCATTATGTTTATCACTTGCTATCAGTTGATGCTGCTCTTTATTATTAGTAATAGTATTATTGTGATATCTTATTAGAGGTGCACAGAAATAAAAATTTCAAAGGCGAAATGAAAAAAAATGTCGGCCGAAACCAAAACCGAAAATGTTTTTTCTAACTTTTTCAATTTTTTAAAAAACGTTTTATTTTTTATAAACGTAATTTTTTTAATATTCTTATTCATTTTTATTAAATATTTTTTATTTTTGTACTTTTAGTGGCTTCGGGGAAATATTAGGGGTCTAAACAGACTCCTGATATTTCCTTTTTAAAATCGTAAAAGAGATTGAGGACACAGAGCCCTCAATCTCTTTTTCTACATTCATTTCTACAACATGAGGACAGAGTATGTTTACTATAACCACAATCATGAATGAACAGGAGGTGATGTATATCACTTCCCATTCATTCATAATTGAGGATATAGTCAACATACCATGTCCTCAATTATCTACAAACACTCAGCAATCACTGATCATTGAGTGTTTGTACCGCTGAGTGAGCGGTGAGGGAGGAAAGACGCCTGCCGCTCACAGCGCTCTCCTCCCGCACCGTTTGGCCTCCTGTGACACTTTCTCTCCTCCCCGCTGGGACACAGAGCAGCACCCAGCGGGGAGGAGAGAAAGAACGGATGGACCGCTATTTCGACCCGATATTGGTGCAGCCCTTATTATTATTATTTGTTCTCTCCACAAAAACACCACAGAGTTGCCGATTAATCGATTATTGAAAAAGTTGACAACTTTTTCAATAATCGATTATAATCGATTATGTCGATTAGTTGTTGCAGCCCTAGTTTACTCAACACTGTGTCTGCATTTAATGGCTCATTAATAAAAGGCAGGCTGTGGCGTGAAAGCACAGCCACATGACTTGACTAGGTCATGTGACCAGACTCTCCTCCTATCTCCTTTCTAAATTTTAGCGGGGCTTTGCTTGCATTAAGCACATTTCAAAAGCACAATGCTGTTTTATATTTTGGGCCGCTGTATGTGCTTATGTCTGTGCAGTGAGCTAAGATAACCGGTATTTTCGAATATAGCTTCTAATGCAACTACAGCTTAGGGAGTTATTGCTTTTACCCTGCCTGAGAAGGAATACTGTACACCCAGTAAAAACAGCTGGGTATGTATTTTTTAAATATGAATATGGTTAGAGTAAATCATTTGCTCGATGCTCTTTAGCACAGTTTCATTGCAACTGTGTTTACTGTGTTTGCACCTGTCAGACCAGTAAAACTTATGTTCATGTGAGGCCTTTGTTTGATCAGTATTCATTTTATATTGACTTAAACAAGTCTGTTCGGGCCCTTACATAAAAGTACTGCTTTTGGTGAGGGCATATCCGCTCCTATTACAATAATGTTCCCACCTGCCACATTGTCCTATCGGGTCAAACATTTCCAGGTATTCTAACATCTGCAGGAAAAGGCTAAAAAAGAAATATATATATATATATATAGATATATATATATATATGATTTTACAATTTACGGATCTTTATATGTGGTGGCTGCATTCGTTTCTTGGGAATGCATGTTGAAGATGTGCACTAAAACACACCATTTTAGGGAGCTTTAGCATGAATCCAGGCTGGGTTAAAGGGACCTCGGAAAGTCCAGCCCTGCCTAAAGCAACCTTTTTACTTTGCCAATATTTACAGAAACCACTGTCTGATATAACCCATTTGGCTTATAATCAACCCCCTGATGCATCATTTTTTTATCGCTGTTCTCGGTGTGTGCCTAAATTACATGAGTCAATTATTTCCTTGTCGGGAGCTGCCATCTTGTCTTTCACACAGCAAATAGTAAGGCCAGGCTCAGTCGCAGCCTTGCCTGACGCTTCACAAGTCTGCATAAAAAGTTTGGCCTTGTCCAGAGGCTACTGCATACTACATATGTGCCACTTGCTCCATGCATTCCTACAGCCCATAGAATGGCCCAGTCCAGGGGTAGCCAAACTCTGGCCCTCCAGCTGTGGTGAAACTACAAATCCCATGATGCATCTGTTTCCGGGAGGCGTGGCTGTGGGAATCTTGCAATGCCTCATGGGCCGGTGAAGGGGTCCCCCGTCCGACACCCGCCTTCTTTGGTGTCGGCGGGAAGCCGGGGAGGAGATGGGACAGGGAGCGATGCAGATTGCATTACTTCCGGTCCCATAGCTGTCAGTGCTGGGCTCCTGAAGCCCAGCTGTAAGCTATTGAAGTGCGATCTGCACTTTAATAGCTTATTGAGAGTGTAAAGATGACACTGGGGGGTCTTTTGGACCCCCCCGCATCACCTTAAAGAGTAACCGTCACCACCATCTGCTATCACATGTGTGGCTTGTAAGCCCCCTAATTGAGATAGCAATTAAAGTATTAAAACAAAACCATTTGTAACATTAAATAAAAATAATGTAAACATTTTTTTTCAAGTCCCCCCACGAGCATGCGCGTCTGCACGTAAACACGCGTCCGGTGCGCCTACGTATGAAAACGACTAATGCGCTACACATGTTGGGTATCGCCGCACACGCTGGAGTGAGAGCAATAATTCTAGGGCCAGTATTTTTGGGTATCTCTAAACTGATGACCTGTGAGGGCTTTTAAAGCATCATCTATGGACTTGGGGGTACTGAATTTTGTCGCCGTTTCACAGACCCACACAATTTTTAACCTGGGCATGCTGGGTATCTATTTACTTGTTGTAACCTCGTCTTTTTATATTTTATTAAACAAGTGTGTATTTGTGTTTTGGGGCATTTAAGTGCATTTTGTTCACTAAATTTGGGGGTTTGATAAGGAGTTGCGCTAATATCGTGCAACATAAAAATTTGCAACTGCCACCATGTTTTTCTCTAGGGTCTTGGCTTTCAGAAAATATATAATGTTTGGGGCTTTTACATAATTTTCAGGCCTAAATGTGGAATATAGCATGGGTGCAAAAAATGAAAAAAAGTCCTCAGTCATGAAGGGGCTAATGCCCGCTTTAGACATTCTTGTCTGTGCAGGTATTCTTCATTCTCGGAAAAAGAAAAACTGCAGAGATAGCGTGAAGTGAATATATTTTGGATTTGAGAAGCATCCTTTTCTAAAGCTGTGACTCTTTTCTTTTAAGGTTTGGACCTCATGGAATCCCTGTAACAGTTCATCCTAAACGTGAATACAAAAACAAACCAGAGGAACCTATCCAGGTAGAAAGCACATCATTCCAGGAAGACCCGCAAAAAGAAATGAATCAAAACGGAACAGCAGATACTCCTCCCGTCCAATCCAGTGAGCCCTGTGGAGTTAATAACCTGTGGACTTCAAAGCCTCCTCCACTTTTTCATGAAGGAGCTCCTTACCCCCCTCCTTTGTTTATCAGGGACACTTATAACCAGTCAATACCTCAACCTCCACCACGTAAAATCAAGAGACTCAAAAAGAAAATCTACAGGGAAGAACCCACTTCGATAATGAATGCTATTAAGCTAAGGCCTAGGCAGGTATTATGCGACAAATGTAAAAATGTTGTGGCAGATAAGAAGGAGGTCAGGAAGACTGGGACTGACTCTTTTAAACTAGAAGAAGGAAAGCGGAGGAGGCATGAAAGTGTAACTACTGTGAATAAAAAACTTAAAACTGATCACAAGGTAAATGGAAAAAGTCAGACGCGGAATTCAGTGGCCAAGGTCACAAATCTCAGCCACGGCCGAGGAAAAGTGGTCAAAGTGGCTTCTCAATCGCATACCACGAAAGCCCAGCTGCACACGAAAAAAGTACTGCAGAGCAAAAATATGGATCATGCAAAGGCACGGGAAGTATTAAAAATGGCCAAAGAAAAGGCACAGAAAAAACAAAAGGAAGCCTCTTCCTCGAAAAATGCCCACAGTAAAGTCCACTTTACACGGCGCCTTCAGAACACAAGCTCAGGGACTCTTCCACCAAGACTACGTATAAAACCTCAAAGGTACCGCAATGAGGAGAACGACTCTTCGCTCAAGATCGGACTTGACAGTTTGCGAAGCAGCAAGATGGGTATCAAGCCCCAGACCCGCTACACTGCCACCCGTTCAGCAGGTGAGGAACCTTCAAATGGCCCTCAAGAGGCCAGCAGCGATATTCAGAACACAAGTGTCTGTGTACCGCCTCCTGGCGAACAGGATGAGCAGCAAGCACTGAGCAAGCGAGGCAGCAAAAGCAATATTACAGTTTACATGACCCTAAATCAAAAGAAAGCCGACTCTTCCAGTGCTTCAGTGTGTAGTAGTGCTAGTACAGATGATTTGAAATCCATCCACTCTGAGTGTAGCTCTACTGAAAACTTTGATTTCCCCCCAGGCAGCATGCATGCACCTTCTTCATCATCTTCCTCCTCTTCAAAAGAAGAGAAAAAGTTGAGCAATTCCTTGAAAATAAAGGTGTATTCCAAAAATGTCTCTAAATGCGTGACCCCTGATGGCAGGACCATATGTGTTGGGGACATCGTATGGGCCAAGATATATGGCTTCCCTTGGTGGCCTGCCCGTATTCTCACCATAACTGTCAGCCGAAAAGATAATGGCCTGATGATGCGGCAGGAGGCCCGCATATCATGGTTTGGGTCCCCCACCACCTCCTTCCTTGCTTTGACACAGCTGTCCCCCTTTTTAGAAAACTTCCAGTCCCGATTTAACAAGAAGAGAAAAGGTCTTTACCGCAAGGCCATCACAGAGGCAGCCAAAGCTGCCAAGCAGCTCACTCCAGAAGTGCGGGCCCTTCTGACCCAATTTGAAACGTGATCCCTGCCACACACATAAGGTAGGCAAGTTTAGTGGTTGTTTTTTTTGTTTTTCATAGCTTAGACATAAATATTTTTTAACTTTTTTTTTTTTATGTGATCTTGGCTGGAGTGACAAATCTCCCTTTTTTTTTGTTTAAAAGTCTGCAGAGCTTCATTTGTGGTAGCCCACATTTCACTTCACTAAAAATACCGAAAGGAACAAAATGTACTATTTATGCAAAGACAGGTCTCTACTAAACAGGATTGAAATGGCACCCCGTTCTTGGATCGGCCATAGCCCCCCGTCCCTGCCTGTTAAAGTGGCCCTGCCAACTGTACAATTTTATATATTTTTTATTTTTTATTGCCTGTTTGTCATTTATCAAATCACCTGTGATAGTGGATTCATGTTATAAAGAAAGTATAATGTACATAAGTTAGATCTACAGTGTAGCTTTTTTTTTTTCTCATAAATTTATTATTGGGGCGGAAGTTTAGATCAAACCTGAACACAAATGTGGCCAGCCTGATATGGTCATATTTAAGCATAATTGTTAAAAAGGAAATGAAATCCAATTTTTCTCCTTGCTCCTTTTTAAAATCTGTTCTAATTAAGACATGTTGTGATTTGTTAAATGTCTCATTGTTACATTTTTTTGGATGTATCTTTATCAAATGCATATATATATTTTTTTTTTTTTCAGTTTGTTTTTTCATGAAGGTATCTGTTTGCAGGTCAGAAATTATGAAACAAATGTATCTGTATTGCTCTGAAATGTACAAAAAGTGTAAATAAAAGCCACTAAATCTGATTTTTGTTTTGTGTGTTACTGAGAACTTTGCAGAGCAACTAATAAAAAAAACAACAAAAACACAATCGTCAAGGTTATGTTCAATTGCAATTTTTGGGGGACAAATAAACCTGCATTGAAACATTTTGGCACTTCTGAGGGTGTCATTCACAGCTGGATGATGAACAGAACACAACAGTTCAATCTTACTTTTCCACATCGATTGGAGACTATGTATTGAATCCTAATTCTAATTATGCTAGTCAGCTACGCGTGATTGTGCACAACTGTTAAATGTGTTCATGGGGTCCAGTTTTTTTTTTTTTTAAAAGATTGGATTTTTTTGAAATGTTAAATTGAAAAAGCCATTTTTTAGTTTTTAAATACAGTTAGTAACTTATTACAAGATGTCAGGTTTTAATTGCAGTGTCCCTGCTGGGGAGATGCACCTTTTCTCTTCGTGGTCACCGTTGTCACCAGAACTCCAATATTTTGCAGACACGGAGCAGAATTTGAATGGAAATGCTCCATTGGGGACACCTGTTCCAGTGACAACTGTCAAAGTGGAGGTTGCCTCTCCTTTTGTAAAGATGTCCTGTGGTGTCTCTGGGACTGGAATGGAAGGGAATTCTTCCCAAAAGGAAACCAATAGTAAAAAAAAAAAAAAAACTGATGGGTCTTAACCATTCCCTACTCCCATCTAAAACGGCAAAAAAAATATTGGCTTTACATACTCTAAGTGTATTTTTGTGGGTATCAAAGCCTGTTAATGGTTTTGTCAGTATTTCTAGAATTTATTGTTATTTACATTGCATTTAAAACGTTGAAATTTGGGGTAATTCATGTTAAAATATTAGCGTAAAATATAAAATCTAAATCACTGTCGCTTTTTTTTTTACCTTCTGATGCCCCAATCTAAAAACGTGCATGTGTAAAACTTTTTTCTATTCTTTTCAGTTTTTTCTTGTAAAACATTATTGCTTGTGGGGTTTTTTTTTTTTTTTTTAAGGAAATAAGTTAGGGTTTGGATGAAGTATCAGTCAGTAAACATTCAGTAGACCTTCATCAAGCATTCACTACAGGTCAATCAATTTCTGTTAAGACACGCATCAGGATGGTACACCTGAAGTGAATGTCACATCCAGTACCTTTTTTTATAAATTATACTCCTTTTTTTTTTTTAGTTTCTCACATATGAAATATCACAGTATTTACCAAGTGTGATGCATTTTTTACAAAACATGTATTGCATTCAAATCTTGAAGGCGAACTGGAAGTTGAGGATGCAACTGCTGAGACTGAATTCATTTCCAATACTGCACCAAATGAATGGTGCTACAAATTCTGACAATTTGTAGCACCAATACTTGAAGCAAAGGGCTGTGCAAGGTACCACGATGAAAAGATTAGTGATTACAGTAACCAGTAGAAACCTCATTTTCAATCACATGCACAGTCTTACCTATGGTTACAAGGCAGTATTTTCATCTCCTTGTATACAATAGGCCTCCAGTGGTTAAAGTACCAGATTGTTTTGCATATAGTTATTCTTTCATAATAGTGGGGGCAGATTATGTGTCGCAACTTAAACCAGGGCTGGCCGAATCCCAGGAGCCCGGTAGCCAATGCTCCGTAAAAATGACAGCTGGCGCCCAACTTTTGAGGTTTTATCTATTTATTTATTGCCAACGGTGTTGCTGACTTGAATTATAACTCATTGCAAATCAAAGATATGATCCTAAAGTTATGAATTGGTGAATTATCAGCTACACAATACAGCTCTTTTATTTCACTAATATTGCATGAAATTAACTTTTTGTTTTCATGTATTCTCTCCTGCAAACAGAAACTGCAATTTAAGTTTTCATAAAGATTAACATATCCTTTTTATTTTGTTCAATCTGTGTTTATGAAGATTTCATTTTGATGTTCATCTGAAAGTGGACCATTTATATGTTGCTTAGTTCAGAACTCTGGTATCTGTTATCACTTTTTTTTCTTTAATTTTCCTTTTTAAAAACAGAAGGTATTCATGTATCATTTCCTCCCAAATTCTAATAATGAAGGGTTTTATTCCTCATTAAAATGTGTATATGTATGTACTATTTATAGCAAGATCCACACTCTGATCAGCCCCTTCCCCTGCTCTGCCTACAAATATAAATTGATTTTAAAAAGAATAGAAACAAATTATTGTAAACATATTTTTGAGTTAGCTTTACAGTAAGAACTGTTAAAGACACTATAGTTTCCTTGAAAGGTTAGTGGATGGAAACCTGCAAGTCATTCTTGATAGGCTTGTGGCCCACTGTACATCCAGGACTGCTGGGTTATAGCATAGATAGGGCATGTTAGTGCTGTATATCAGGAGAATTGCAGTTGTTCACAGGGACATCAAATATTGAACATGTCTCCCCAACTCTCCATAATATACCGACAGTACATATATACTTGAAGGTTGTAGACATTACTCTAAGCATAATTACCTGCAATTCAATCAAGCCACAGAGTCCAACCAGGCTCACAGCTTCAGCCCCCTACATATTTTAGTGGTATTAAGGTATTTTGGGTTCATTTTGCCCCAGATATGAGGGGGGGGGGGTCGGGGTTACCAACCAAAGTTGTATTTTTTTTTTGGTCCCGTGTGTACAAGAGATCTGTCAAGTATACAGAGGAAAAAGCAAAGAAAAAAAATCCATGTAGGCTTCTGTTTCTCCCTGATGAAGAAACAAGCATGTTGCTGCACAGGGAAAAGCTGTTGCGGTGTCGACAAACCTTTTACCATTTTGGACATCCTCTTATATGAGGGCTTTCCTTGACATATGTAATGAAAAGGCCTTCAAGCATGCACAGAGCATGATCTGCTGACTCTGTGTATCTCTTGGTCAGCTTGGAGTCCAGCAGTAAGAATTTGGAACAAAGCAAAATACAAGCTGGTCATCTTCCCCATGGACCAGCAGTTTGAAATTGAAACTAAGGCCTCATTCCCACGGGGCGATCTGGCATTCCTGCGACAGGAACCTATGGATTTCTGTGGCAGGAATGGCAGATGTCCCCCCCCAGATGCAGCT